CTATTGAAGTGAAGAGTTATGAATTTTGTCCCTCAAAAAAAGACATAAGTGATCTGCGAAATTTTATATGCTAAATATTTTAGGGACCCATCATTAGCTACCACCAATATGATCTGATAATTGGCTCATATGTGAGCAAGGAGGCAATCATAGTGATAAGTCTTTCCACTTCTAGCAGAACCATTCACAAACAGTACACCCCCTTTACCTCAGTTTATAAGATCCAGTACCTCATCAAATACTATATGTTGGGCTTCATTTAACATATTTGCTTTGGCAAGATCTTCTGGAGTAATGTGATAGGATAATTTTTCTAAAAGTATTCTTGGCAGTTCCCCAACCTTTATTTCCAGAAATAATTGTAAATTATAATCTGCCACGGTCTTTATATGTCTTTGTAAAAATATGTTCAAGCTTTGAAGGACTGCTTGAATTTGAAGTTGACCCTCTGGAATCTCTCTATATGCAAAGTCCTCTATCATTATATTGAAGTTCTCATTTCACAACTGACATACATCTGCAATATCTTCAAAGACTAATAATATTGCGAATAATCCATAATGAGCTTCCTACTCTCCAAGTGATGCAGAAAAGAAAACCAGACTTATATTCAAACACAATATGCTCAATGTATAATTTACAAGAGAAAACCCTAAAACATCTTTTTGAATGTCCTAAGACCCAAAATGAAAGACTAGTTATATGGAACAAATCTCAAAGTAAAATCCTTCAGTATATTAGGAAAACAAAAGATTTATCTGACAAAAGCCAGGCAGAAATTAAAAGAGTAACAGGAAAATAGATCCAGGACATTAATCAATATGATGAAAGCCTATATAATACAGTTTGTAGCTTTATACATAGAGACAAGACCAAGATCCTGGAAAAGTATCTCAAAGTCCTCAAGATTCCAGCAACAATAACATAAGAGACTATTGGTAAATTTTGTAAAAAAATGAGGAAGACCTTCAAAAAAAAAGTCTGGAACAAATGCTATAGTATTACTATCGAATGGGAACAAAACCACAAAATTACCAGCAAACTCAAAAGGCTTAGAGTACCAACTGATACAACTAGAAAAATGGATCAGGTCCTTAAGAAAACCAATCAATTCTCTATTTGTTTCTCCAGAAATATAACAGATGAAAAAGAAGACTCAGAATGAATGAAGTCCCAAGGCAATATTTGTAAATATAATAAATAGTTGGATATTCAAAGGTTTTAAATAGTTTGGTTTTTAATCATAGTTGAACTTCAGAAAATCTACAGTGATGAGCTGTAGGCAATGATCAGAGTGGCTAGAGGATAATTCAAGCCATAAAGGGAGTGAGATATTATTTCCTAAGTTGCATCTAGAGAAGGTTAAACTTTATAAATGGATGAGTCAATATGTGAAAGTCATAAAATATGTAAATATCAAATGTGTTTACAATAAAATGGACAAGCTATATTGGCCTGACTGCGGGTTACAAAAAAAAAAAAAAAAAAAATCAAATCTAATAAACTCTTTATAAGTAATAATAGTTTCTAAATTTGATTTTGAAGATAATATTTTACTTTATAATGGTTTTTAGATAAATATTTTTCTAGTCTATCACTTTCTAATTGACAAGTTGTTATTATCAAATGTTCTATCAAGTTACTGGAATATAAAAAACTATAAAAAAATAAATTAATAAAAGGAAAAATAGAATATTTAAAAATGTTCAAATAAACTATAAGAAAATGAAGAAAAAAAAAAGAAAATAAAATTTTTTAGTTTCCTTCAAAGACCTGCTTCTTTAGATTTCTTTTTAATAAAAAATATTCAATTGAGATATATACTGTATTTTTTCTCTAACTATTTGAAAAACTTAATTATTTTTAATTTTTATTTTTTTCTCATATATTATTTAAGAAAACTTATCACCTAGTGGAAGCTTTTATTTTTAGTAATACACTTGATCCCAACCTTCTTTGAAAAGTAATTTTTTTTTTTAAAGGTTAGCTCATTCCTGTGTCAGTTTTGAAGCTTTATTAAATTTAAGATGAGTCCTAGGAACAACCGGGATGAGTAATTATCCATACTGTCTAAGGATTTGCAGATCAACAAATAGTACAAGGGGCATCTATTTACATCTCACCCAACCAGGATAGGATAACTATATGATCATCTAGTGTAGGACTTTTTCTTAATTCTAACTCAGCTAAGGATTTGGGGGAGTCTTGATTCAATCTAATGAAAAATCCCACCTATTATCTCGAATGTTCAGAAATGGCATTTCCTAGGATATAGTTCACCAGACGACTCTATTGCTATCCCCTTATGGGAAAGCTAACGTGTCAGAAACTCACCTAAGATACCCAGTATCACTAATATTGGGGGTCTCTTATATAGAATCCTATTGACTCCATTAGCACTTTAAAATTTTTTTGGGGCTTGTTGTGTTTCTCGTACTGTCTGGTTACTTGATTAGAATATTGATCTTGTGTGAAGGACATTGATCCCTCAATTGGTTGTCTTGAGTATCAGAACCTGTTATATTTCTTTTAGCATCACACCGGGTTGAATTTTTGATTTGCTATAAACCTGTTATAGACAGTTTTATGAGTGATCAGATCCTTCTTTTCCTATATGAGAGGTGATCTTGTTTGTGTTTCTGGAACCTTGCACCACCTATTTTGACCATATTTATAGAACCTTGTATGTATCTTGTTTTGTTATAGTTGCAATAAGTGGGTAGAATCCTTCTTCACTTTTTCTGTTAGGTACCTGAAATTGGTTATAAGTGAAGATCTCGTATTACTTATGCTAGCCTTATATAGAACCTTGTATTGATTTGTTATTCTTACTATAGACATGATGAGTGTATGGGTTCTCCTTATTGCCTTATGGGGCACTTGATCATCATCATGGGGAATGAGATTTTGTATCACCTTGTAGCTGAATTTTCACTTGGTCCTTATATGGTATTGAACTCTGGACCTTGTAATTGCAACCTGAGAGCACTACCACTGTGCTATCGACCCACAGGTTTTGAATAGTAATTTTTTATTTATCTATGATAAATAAATAATTTATAATTTTTTTTTTTTTTTTTTTTTTTTTGAACACACAACGTCGCCCATTTTATTGATTATATGCATTACATATACTCT